TTTTTTTTCTTACCGATTTCGTGCACGCGATTTCTCGAAAACGACTCGATGGATTTTTATGAAACTTTCAGGACTCATGTAACATTACTTTAACTTGATAAATTTTTTTCGTTTTGATGACGTCACTTCCGGTCCGGAAATATTGTCGATTTTATGATTTTTGAAGGGTCAGGTTGTCCGCGAACGTTCTAAAAATGACTATAGATAGAAACGTGAAAACTTCAGTTATGATAGTCCTAAGTCTATAGATGTGCAAAATGTATTTCATTTTTATCGGAAGTGCCGCACGTCGGCGCACGTCGGCGCTCGCTGTGGCCTGAAAAAAAGTCGTATCGTGAATTTCAAAATTTTAACACCTTTTCTTCGATATGTTTTTACCTGAAAATATTTTGTTAAGACATATAGAACAAAAGAAGTGAAGAATTCTAAGATCTTTCAAATCATATCTTGTAAAAAGGACTGGCCCCTAAATTTAAGGGCCCAGAGGGGCCAAAAGTTTTTTCTTCATATCTCAAAACGTATTGAGAATTTGTAACACGTCAAAGAAGCAAAGTTGTTCAAAATGTCAAGCTTAATCTATTGAAGTCGTCAAAATACGTCTGTCGTCGTCACTGCCGGCCGAACCGGAAGTAGTCAAAAAACGCGTATTTTTGCCTTCTTGACAAGTTTTTGGAAAACACATGTCTCTGGGAGCATAAAAATTAATTTTCCGTCCGTCGTCGTCACTTCCGGATAAACCGGAAGTAGCAAAAATTGCTTATTTTTGCATTAGTTAACAGCTTTAGAGGATTCAAACCATTTTTTCAGGGATTATTTCTCATTTTTGTTAAAAATGATAGCTACTTCCGGTCAAACAGGGCGGAAGACCTACTCGTTGCTTTGCAACGAGCTTTGCTCTAGTTTTTCTTCTACTTCCTAGACGCCAACTTTGAGGCCTCATATTTCACTCATTTATCAACGGATTTCGCTCAATTTTTCAGACATTATAGACATTATTAAACTCTATCAAAGTGATATCTAACATTTCAAAAATTCACTTCCGCTTTTGAGTTATACCCCTTGAAACGAAAATTTATAGGCTTTCGTTTCCAGATAAAGGCTCAGAGACCACAAAAGCTGGAGCAGAATTTTTACTGATTTTAGGTAACAGAAGGATTGAAGTTGTGCACATCGGTTTTTGTTTTTCGATTTCTGTATTCACAATGGCGCTATATAGGGGTCAAAAATAAGAACGCCTAAAAGAGCGAAAATTTACACATATTTTTCTTTTTATCTTCAAACCTAGAAATATTTTGTTAAGATATAATGAACAAAAGTTGTGCATAATTGCAAGGGCTTTCATATAATAATATTCAAAAGGGGCTGGCCCCTATAATAAGGGATCAAGGGACCTTGAAAGTCTTTGCTTTATAACTCAAAAACGGTAAATATTTCGGAATGACTATCGATTATAAAGTTGTCCTTTAACATCTTACTGATCTCATGAAATTGTTATTGTGTTCGAGTCTTGTTTTAAATGAGCTGGTGCATGACCTATAAATGCACAGGTAATTCTTTTCACTCAGCACGTAAACGAGAGCTTCTCATTCGTGTAACCAAAGCAAGCTTACTATAAATAATAAACATGGCTACATTGGATGCTAATATTCTTCAGAATAAAGTTCTCGAAGTGTTTACAAATTATCATGTTTATTCACTGACAACTTTCTTTTTATTTCATTTTTTTTTAAATCGTATAAACCAAGTCTACTAAAAAGGGAAGAAAATAAAATCTCTTCTTCTTATCACATAAAAGCAAACAATATAGTGAGAAAATAAAACATAACTAAAATGCACATATACTATTCACAGCCATTAAGTGCACGGCTTTAACATTCACCTTGTTTGTTTACAATTATATAACGCGCCTCCCTCGATAGCGGAGGGGCAAAGTCGGTCACCGTGAATCAATCGGCGTGTGATCCAGCGACCTGCAGTCACACACAAAAAAAAAAACCCACCACAGAATGTTTAAATCAATTCTTGATAATATTGTTCCTTAAATTCTTATACTATCTCTGTCCCTTGAAAATATTATTTTGTTCGAGTCTTACGAATGGTAGGAAAGAAAGCTAGATCCGTATTCACCGTAAACAAGGCTCCGTTCTCATTTTGATTTTGAAGAACTCTTAATGCGTATAATTGAAATAAACTTGCCGTAAGTAATAAATATTTTACCACGCTGTATCATATCTCTTTTTTTTAAATTAGGTTTTAAACGTGTTCTTTGTTTCCCGTTCAGAGTATTCGATGGTTTCATTTTCCTTTTATTAATAAGGATCTTTACAAGAGAAAGAGTAATAGAAAAAAAGCACGAATCTTTTTATTCGTTTAAATATGAACACCAACGATTTGAACGGAAACAATATTTGCCCGGATCTCATTAAAAAACTTTTAAGAGTCAAATAATACACAATTATTTAATGCGCGATTCTCATATTCACCTGGAACCCAGATTGTTTAGCATTACGTAATCTATCTTTCGATTACACGCGGCCGAGAATTTCTAAAGCGACACCACGGTGTAGTTCCTAAACGGCTGCTATCGGAACAAAACCGCGTTCAGTGCTGCTATTCGAAAACTTTACGGCTGCTAGCAGAAATAAATATGTTGAAAACTCTTAGAACAAGTTGTAAAACAGTGAAATCATGACTCCAAATCAAGATAATCTCTGAAAAGTCCGGGTGCACGGAACAAGTAAGGTATTTCTATAGATTGTTGTCATGTGTAATTTGCAGAATAACCCTCTAATAATTTAGAATTAGTAAAATTTCCAAAGCCTGTACCAAATCTTCAGGCAATAATACCCAGTTTTCATGCTTTTTTACATCATCTTTTATTCAGATTGTGGGTATTTTGGTATTTGAAGATGCGTCAATCTATAATAATTCTCAAAAATAATTTTTAAAAATTGACAAGTGTATTTTTAAAGAGATATTTGGACAAAACACGATTTTTTAAAGTTACGGTTGCTATCAGAGTCTTAGCATATATTGCACCGGTTAATAACTGAAAACATCGGATCGGCTGCTATTTGAAAATTTTCTTTATTAACAGAGATGTGAAACAAACTTATGGCAGCAAATGTCTAAAATATACATTTTAAATATCTAAAATTGCATGTGAAATAAGATGTCTATATATGCAGTTGACTTTTACCAACTTAACTCAGGGAAGTTACCGTGTAACTTTGATTTTGAAAAGGGGGGAGGGGGCAGAAAAATTCAAATCTATTTTTTTAAAAAGCAGACATGGGAAAAAAGGAAATTTGTCAAACTTATTTCAGCGCCATTTTTTCTCACGCGCTACTGCCTACCCTTCTTTGACTGTACTGCAATAAAAAAGGGGGCCTTCAATGAAAATTTTCAATATAGTAAATGTTATGCTTGGAAGAAAGTCAACAGACCTTTCAATAACATTTTAGAAAGTAAAGGTTATGCTTGGAACAAATTGTGGAGGGGGGGGGGGTCTGTAACTCGAATGTATCGAATTTTTGCAAAGTAGAGCTGATCTTCGAAAAGCATTGCTACACAAACCAAAAAGAAAGCTTTACGAAAGGACCCGTAAATCAATTTGAAATACATGTAGCACATAATATATTTTTACTATCATTTACAATCATTAATTTTCTTTAAAACCTTTCTTAAGTTAGAGTCTTTGGGGATTTTTGTAGCCTATACACTTAAACAGGTAATATCTAGAAAAGTTAAAGTGTAAGCTTTGTCAAATATTTCTAATTCCATATTTCTTTTCCGAAGTACGGTGATGCATTGGTTCGTTGTATGACTAACATGCAATATTCAAAACATCGACGCCCCCTTCCCCCATTAGGCTTTTAAGAGTTCTTTAAATTATATAGGCAATAAAAGACAAGCCCCCACCCCCACCCCGACTCAAGAAAAAAGCGTGGTTTTTATATTGATGTTTTCCACTTCTTTTTACTGTCATATTTCTTGTAAATTGACTTAATATATTTCATTAAAACAATTGTTGTTAGCTTATTTCTAAGTAAAAAAAATCTTTTTTTGTTCTCTCAAGAATTAAAGAGTTAAATTCTATCAGTGGCGAAATTAAATTTGTCTATTTTTACGTGCACCGTCTCGACTTTATCAAAGTTTTTTTAACCTGTTTTCTGTAAAGCCTTTTCCCCTATATTTTCCCCTTTTACAGAATTTAATTTAATATAAATGAGAAAATGAGTTCTTTCAAACATAATATCATTATTTAAGAGCTGATATATCGCAAGCTAAAATCTAAATAATATTTTGGTAATAATTAGCAAAAAGTAATAAAATGTAACTAAACAGTAAACAGTGGCGGATCCAGGAATTTCGTAACGGGGGGAGGGGGGGGGGCAGTAGAAGTCCGAAGGTTATTGAAGCCCACAGGGAGTATAAGACAAGGTCCTTTTGTGACGGAAGGACAGAAGGACGAAAGGACGGAAAGACAGAAGGCGGACACGACAAACACTATATGCCCGGCCATATTCATGGCGGGGCATAATGTCTACTTAGTAAAACTTTTTTAAGAGTGTTGGACAATGGTCATTATGAATCATTGTCAATTAGTTTACTGAAGTGTAATTATTTTCTTTTAGTTGTCTATTCACATTCTTATTTTGATTAGAATTATAGAAGATTAATTAAGATTAGATAGAGGATTCCTTAAAATCTGACTGACATTTTTTATACTTATTGTTAGTCAATTATTTACACTGAATTTACGGGTGATTTTTCCATTTTTTTTAATCATGACAAGGAGCACACTGCGGTATGACCGATTGGGAGGAGATGCTCACTCCTCCATGCCACCTCATCCCACCTCCGATATTTTGGAGGTCCATGTTTGCCCTGCCCCTATTTCGTATTTTTTATGGACTTTTGATCTTGAAAACTGTTTGTTATCTCCTTGTGTTTCCTTTTTTTCTCTTCCAAATATATCTCATTTTTATTCCCTTTAGGTTTTGACACCGACAATTACGATGACAAGAGGTGGGAGTGCGTCTATTCAGTTGCAATTTACCATCCCTTACGTTATGGAAAGCTTGGAAGTAAATCATGTGTTTGGGAATCAATTCTGTTTGTTTGTGAGTCTTGCCACTGTTGAAGGAAATCTAACTGCCTGCAGAGCTAAGGATGCAAAACACTGTGACATTGAAATTAAAGCTTACAGGTATAATGAACGTGAATATTATGCCACAGATAAATGGAAAGAAATTCATACAATGAACATTTATAACACGGACAATTCAGATTTCAAAGATGCTACTAGGGACGTAACTTTGCGTCTTCAGACTGGAGGTACCCACAGCATAGACAATATATTTGAAAACGTAACTTTGCCAGATATTCAGGCAAGTAAAAAATTGGAGTTGTGATTATGTTTTTATATTTGATGTTCTGCTTTGTTTTTTCTTATACTAAATATTGTACGTACTATAGTTAACACTAGGCTTATAACTCCCTAATAGATAGTTTTCGATAGGCCTGAATTTAGCGAAAGTTACCTCCCGTTGGCCGCCATATTGGAGGTCGACTCGGTGATTTTCCCTCTTTGTCTTACCAAGTTTAAGAAACTATAGCAGAAATATTTGGTGGAAAATCTTTATCAAATAATTTTTTTTTAAATAAAGGAGGCTTCCAAAAATTTATATACTTCAGAAAAATAATGATTTCTAATTCAGAATAGCAAATATAAAAATTTTAAATTGGTTGAACAATGAAGGAATATGAGCGTTTGGACCTCCAGTATGGCGACCAACGGGAAGTAACTCTTGGTCAATCGAAAACTATCTATAATGAACATGCTCCAAAAACTGTAACCTGGTCACTCATCCGGAAAATGTCGGTCAGATCTAGCACCCGAAGGAAGTTTGGTAGTGTCCATCCCTAGATGCATCATCCATGCAAGATTGGTTAACACTGGACTTATATAGTTACTTTAGAATTGACCAGCTCCAAAATAGAATGATGATATGGTGATAGAAATCCTTAAACAATGGTCTTCTTAATTTTGTGGAAAGGGGAGAGTGTTGCTATATTTAGTTTTCCTTGGTCATCTTGCGGATTGCACGTATGTGAGTAAATTTAATTATTAAAATTCAATGTTTAAAAAAAAAACCCTAAATGTATCCCCTGATTGGAAAACAAGTGTTTTCTTTATCATAACAATTTCTGTGTTTGCATTTAGTTCATAATAAGGTTACTATAACGGAGAAAGCCAATCATTTTACAGTCATAACAGCTTATTTCAAAGTGTCGGTCACATTCAGATATTTTTTGGAGAAACATTTTCTGTGCTAAATTGCAAACACATTGTATTTCTCCTAAGCTAATCCTTGTTTTTTTTTTTTTCAAATTCTGAAATAATTTAACGAGACTGTCGATATTATTGTCTCATCGACTTGTTTGTCAATAGCGTGCCTCGTTATGGACATTGTTCATATATAGAAAATTCTCTTGCATATGGAATCAAATAGGAGATATGTAATATAAACAGCATATGCAGGTGACAAGGGAATAATGATACATAAATAAGGGTTGTTGATGAAGGGAAAGTTAAAGTCATCACGTTTATGATAAATTTTGTTGTAAGGTAACAATTATCGTCATTTCCAGGAAAAAATCCAAATTATGAAACAGATGAGTCAGACTCTGTGGAGACTTTTATATCACAGGGATACAGGTTCACTGTTTATCGTTGTTGACATCTGAATGGGAGGGATTGTTGCCCCGAACGAAGTCGAGCGACATATTGCGATTGTACGCATGTTTTTGTTCTCCAGGATGTTTCTCGGAGATGGCTGGGACAATCTTCCTGAAATTTTTCTCAAAAGACGATCACTCGTTGTAGTTTTGTTGTGTGGTCATTATCAAGTAAAATATTCAAATATGAAACAGATGTGTCTGACTCTGTTTAATGATAATTTTCATTCTTATGTAGATATCATATACCCTGATGAGCTTGAGATAAAATATAAAACAGAGTCAGACACATCTGTTTCATATTTGAATATTTTACTTGATAATGACCACACAACAAAACTACAACGAGTGGTCGTCTTTTGAGAAAAATTTCAGGAAGATTGTCCCAGCCATCTCCGAGAAACATCCTGGAGAACAAAAACATGCGTACAATCGCAATATGTCGCTCGACTTCGTTCGGGGCAACAATACCTCCCATTCAGATGTCAACAACGATAAACAGTTAATTGACAATGCGTCGTCAACAGGCGCGCGGATCCATAATTTGTTTTCCAGAGGGGTTCTACCCCAGTCAAAAATGATTTTAAACTCAGAAATTTCTTGTCAAGCAAAAAAAAAAAAAAAAAAAAGAAAGATAAACAAAGCAAAAGCAAAAAGCAAATACAAAAAAAAAAGCAGAAACAAAAAGAAAGAAACAAAACACAACAAAAAGAAATGTAAATTATTTCCCAAACGTGAAAAGCCTGGGGGAGGGGGGTGGGGGTGGGGTGGGGGGGTGTGAAGTGCATTCTTCTTTTCGCGCATAAGCTTTTGAACTCTGCTTCATATGAAAACAAAAAAGATCTGCTAAGAATGAGGTGCAATGGTACTTATGGGTATTTCAATAGATTGTTGGAAGAACTGGTCTTCAAAAACAACAGATATTGTCAATCAGAAACATAAGCATCTTTTTTAAGTCCACTTCAGAGTACTTATGTTTGCAATCAAAATTTTTTTAACAAAATAATTTTGCAAATGGCTAATGACGAGGTCAATTTTTTATTGAAAAAAAAAACAGCTGTCAAAGATATTACAAAAAGATTGAACTTTGATTTATCCTTGGGAATGGTTTGTGTATAGAGTTTTTAAGCTGTAGGTTTTTGTGAGATCTTATGATTTCAATTTGTCCAAAAGTTCCCAGACCCTGGAATTTTTAAGTATCCTTATCCGATTAACACCGCCTGAACTTTCTACTTAACTACTATCAATATCTTAGCGAGGAGTAAAGAAAGAGGCCTGTTTGAACATTAACTGGAACACGCTATGTATTACTGTTTGAAAGGTTTCTTATGAAGTTTCTTAATCAAGCATTGAATTTATGTTTTTGGCTGTCTTCGGTCCTATAACACACCTGGCCGTGCCGACAAATTGAATAACGACCGAAGACATCCCAAAATATAAATTTAATGCTTATATTTATATTCTCTAATTTTGCTTCATCATAATTGTTTATTTCCTTCGTGTTTAATGTGAATTTAGCGCCTTTCGTTATTGGTGTGCTTAATAAACGTAATAGCCGTTCGTGACGTTGGAAAGTTAAATAACGCAAATAAACATTGCGAGGAAATAAAATGACAAATTAGTTTTTGATGCACATTTGCTGAATTTTATGTTAATTTTAAAAGGGTTTTTTTTTTTAAAAATGAAATTGAGTCAAAACAATATACATTTTGGTATTCCTAAATATTGAAAATGCATGTAGTTCCTACTGTGTATTCTACCGCGCTGTGACAAGGTTTCGCGTGTGTTATAGAAATTTGAACGTCGTGGATTTCTATTGGATTTTATAAAGAAAATTACACTGAATGTAAATATTCCAATATAAATATGGTTGTTCAAATTCATTTCATTTGGTTCTTTGGCATGTTAAAATATCCAAAACTGATATATGATTTTGAAGAATTTCTTCCTTGAAAAGGGTATTGTGAGATATTGTAAATCAGAATCCCAAACATAGTTTTAATTTTCACTTCAGAGTACCGGTGTCTACAATCACAATTTTTTTAAACAAAATAATTTTGTAAATGACCTACAAAAAGGTATTCACTAAATAAATTTATGAGTTCCATTTTTTTAAAGTCTACTGTCTACGATATGAATAAAACCTGGATTTTAATTTATCGTGTGGAAAGGTTCAATAAATTGATGAAAAGTCGTACGTTTTGACGTTATTTATTTTGGTAAAGTTTTGTTTTTTCAGGTCTCCATAAAGGAAACTAGTTCAGTGTGGAAAGCGAAACACTGCGAGTCTCACATTGATCCGCATATGGTAACTTTTGATGGATAGTAAGTACTTCACAAATCCACAGACTGAGGTTCTTGCTGTTTGCAAATCACTTTTTATTTTTTCCTTATTTCTGGTTTTCATGTTGTTGTCTTTTTTTCATCAGTCGCTATGAATGCCAAGAGAAGGGAATGTTCATTATGTATAGAAATGAAAAATTTAATCAGGAGGTAAGTTAAATTGTTACTTTTATAGACGCAATTCTGATTTTCCGAGGGAATGAAATACAATAACTTAAAATATGCATAATTTGTCAAAGGTGCAGGTGCAACATCGTTATTGTCTTAAACATAATCCACCGCCACATCCAACATGCATATGTGGAATAGTCGCAAGATCTGGAAAGGATATCTTTACAATAAATGGTTGTGACGGCATGCGTATTATAAACTTCCCCTTGTGTGAGGACGGATTTTTCAAGGTTTTAAGCAGTGACACTCGCTATCAGGTAAAAAAGTATATATTGTAAAGCAAATTAATTTAAATGTGATGTTAAAAAACAGAACCGAGCCTCAAATTACTCAATTTATCAAAGGCACGTACGAAGTAAATGTCATTTTTTTCGCATTATGAATTTTGGACCAATATTTCCTTATGAGTGTAAAATATTATCTCAATCATTTTCAAGAAGTTTTTTTCACATAGAATATACATGATATTTTGATCCAAACAAAAAAGAAAATACGCAGTAATGGAAAATATCCTGTGTTGGTAAAATTCCTCAAAACCTGTCTGCTTTCCCTGCATTTTTGAGTTCCCTTCAAAATGGAAATGTTTAATGTTCACGGTTGAAGTATCCATAAAGTGAAATTCTATCCTCTACCCCTTATTCCACTTTTCTCGTGCATTCTCATTCAATTCCATTTTTATCGGTTTAAATCTTTCAAATCTGTTTTTTTAAAAATCGTTATCGCTGACGACTGACCTACCGCTCTTTCAGTGTTTATTGACTCATTTCAGTAAGAAAATTTTAAAAAATCAGTTACATACATCTATGAAAGTCCAATGCAGAACTGTCTGTACCGTGTGTACCTTGGTAATGAAATTGAAATCAAAATTTTGACACCCCTCAAACATATCAGTATCAATCTTCATAGTGCCATAAAATTACAAAAAAAAATGGTATATTAGGAAATCAGGTCAAGTAGGCCTACCCCATTGTCAAAAGTAATCCCTGTAAGAGAAATAAAAAAAAGTGCTGTACGTATCATGGATAAAAATTTAAGGGGTGGAGACTCGTTCACCTCCCAAATTGTATCTAAAAAACCGGAGCTGAAATGGCTCTCTAAATAAAAGTTTTGGACCATCTGAAAAATTCATCCTTATACGGACTGACGCTTGTGGTTCCAGACAAGTAAACATGGGTTCATGGTTTGAGATCAAATTCAATTAATAATTTTGCAAAGTCAGTTTAAGTGACACATTATTATACCCCCGATCCGAAGAAGAGGGGTGTATACTGTTTTAACCTAGTGTGTTTGCCCGCCCGTCTCTCCGTTACAAATTTTATTCGATTCGCTGTTGTCGCAGCAATTACTCATTGCAGATGCTTAAAAAGCACAATCTTCTCTGAGGTATGCCGTATGGAGGGATTCATTTTTGTTCAAATCCGTTGTCAACTCCTGTTTATCCGTGCGTTCTCATTGAAAAGATTACAAGATTTGTTTCTTGATTGCTCAGATAAGATTTCTTTACTAATAGAATTATCAAGTTTATAGCTAAATGTGATAATTTTTCGAAAAATACCAACAAAATACCAAATCAAATTCAATTCTTTTACAGACTTTTGAAAAATCTGACAATGCTTGCAAAATCATAGAAATCTGTGGACAGTAAGAAAAAAATGCGTTGAATTGTTTCTGGTTCTAGTTCACAATATGAACAAAGTGGAGATTTCATTTTTTTATTTTTAGACATGTGGACGTATTTATTTTTACCTAAAATTCTATGAATCAGTCTATAATTGAACCATATCAGTCCTGAATCTTTAGTTAAGTATTTAAAGTATGTAAAAATACGAGTGGTGATCAAAAAGTTCTCGAACAAATTCAATAACTTCCATAAAACAAATAAAACTAGTTTCAGCATTCATTTTTGAATTTTTTTTAAAAAGTAGCCCTCTCGAATTTTAATTCGTATCTGCAACCGTTTTGCCCGTGCGCAAATCACGTGATCCAGACAGTCTCTTCTTTAATTGTAAATAAGGGTCTCTCCTGACACACTGATGAAAAGAATTCAAACTAGATGTTCATGTTAGCACATGAAGGAACTATTTAATTTTATGTACCTTATGTAACTCTACGAGGAGCGTTCAGTATTTTTCGTCCAAACATATTGCAGCAATGAAAACAAAATAGAAATTTGAATTATTTATTTAATTCCTATAAAGAATGTATTTGATACAGAGATGAAGTAGTTTAATTCAGTCCAAAACATTTGTAAGTTTTCCAGGTATAACTCTTAAATACTGAAAATAGCTGATCCCAGCGCTGACAGCGATTGAAAGAGATTTCCAGAGAGAACTTTCTTTAATTTTGGAAACAAGAACAAGTCACAAGGAGAAAAATCAGATGAATAGGCAGATTGTGGAATTCGATAACTTTGTTACGCTGTAAATTGCCCCAAGTAACTTTTGCTTTATGGGCAGGAACATTGTTATGCAGAAGTTTAATGCCTCTCAAACCGGTATAAGGTCGTCATTTTTGTAAAAAAAAAAATAAAGTCTCGGAAGTGTACTTGAAGAATATACATACTGAAAGGAAAAAAGAAACGCATAGTAGCATAATAGCGAAAAATATTTAACTATGTGGCCTAAAATTATTAAAATTAGTCAGATGTGTATTTTGGTTATTATGCACCAAAATCGCTGGTCAAAATTACTCAACTCTGAAAAGTATGGTGTCAAGTAGGGGGAGTGATAAAAAGCCAGATACACGTGCATTTTGATGATGACAATTTGTGATCACATTTTGTAGTACCCCGAGATGCATTAGAGTTATAGACATCGTTTTCCGATATTTGCAGTCAGTATAAATTTCTTGCAGTCATGGTATGGCTGACGGAAGTTACATTGGGTCTAGTAACTGAGTCGCATAAATAAATAAAAAGGCAACAACATGTTGCTGTGCAGTTTGTTTTAACTTTACAACCAAAAAAGTTTTTTTCCACCATGGGGGTGACGTTGGCGCGTAACAACATCACATCAAGATAGGGCTTTTCATCATGCTAACTCGGTTATTATTTAGTCATTATCAATGAAACCGATATTTTTTACGGCAGGCGATCCTACTCATATCTTTACCCTAATACTGACAGAAACTCTCTGATCTAATTTGGTACGCAAGCTTGGCAACTTTACGTCGATTTTACACTCACATGCGCACGTTGGCGCCGTATGCGTATGCATGTTCACCCTGAGAAAATGACTCCAGTGTTTGTCGATACTTCCTCACAAACATTCACATGTACCAAATCAGCTAGATTCTGTAAATTCTATCCTAAATCGAAAATTCTTTGGATTCATTGGGCGGGGGGATTTGTTGGCTTTGGAATAATACAGCTACTCTCAACCATTAAGACTACCGTCGGAAGGCTTGGATGATAATCCTTGAGAAAGATAATGTTCTGGTGTACTCAATGCACAAGAAAATGGAGGCTTTTTCTGATGCGCAAGGGTAATGATGAGAATTCTTATTTTAATTTTGGAGGGTATCGACATATCAATTTCAATAACCCAGTCAGTCAAAGTCACACAAGATTACGGTTACTTTTTGTTTAAAGTTGAATTAAAATGTTTGATAACAATACTAGAAAAAACATATTGGAATTAGAAGTTATTATTTAAAATTGAATTAAAATGTTTGATAACAATACTAGAAAAAACATATTGGTAATAGAAGTTTTTATTTTATTAAAAAGTTTATTATGCGTTTCTTTTTCCTTTCAGTATATTTCCATTGAAATGTCTACCCTATGAGACTGTACGTTGGACTACGAAGCCATTTGAGATAAATATTGTTGTGTATAGAGCTTTCTTAGAAGTTTGAGTTCTTTTTGCAATAGTTGGCCTCTTGATATTCTTACCAAACCAAACTTGAGTTTTTACTTGTTTTTCCTTTTTTTCTTGGTGGAAAAAAATGGATACATGTTTCATCACTTGTGTGACGATCTGACTTAGCTTCCAAGTGTCCATGTTTTTAAACATTTTCAAAAGTTTTTGGCTCTTTTGTAAACGATACCTCTTTTAACCCTGGGTAAAAATATATGAAATCCACCTAGCACAAATTTACGGCAATTTAATTTAGTTTTTAAAATAGTAACAATACTGGCCGTTGAAATTCCTACACATCTTACTATTTCTTTGACGGTCGTGCATCTTTCTTCAGAATATCACAGATTTTCCAAACATTACTTTTGGTGACTGCTCTTGGTGGTCTTCCTGAGTGTTTGTCGTCGGAAACATAAGTGTTCTACCACTCTTTAACTTGCTAACCCAACTATTACCTGTCGTTTTTTAAAATTACAGACCCACCATATATCTGAACAATTCCTTCACATATTTCATTCCGTTCCATACCAATGACACAACGAGCAAGAATATACCTTCTTATTCTAAGTGACTCCAGACTTCGTGTTTTACCCATATTAAATGCCCAATGTATTCGGGTAGGTCAGTTACAAATGTTAGTACGTGATTCACAGACTTGTTCCAAACTTTGACACAATGTCAATAACAGATACATTCATTCATGGATGACAAGATCCCGAATCGACTTATCTAATTTATATTGAAAACCATAAGGGACAAGAATTATTGAATGCCCCTTATATAGTTTTCTAAAAAAAATAAATAATGAAATAAACTTTTTTTGTAAAACACCTGAACCTATTACAGCAATACAATTATCAGACATATTCTAATGAAAATATATAATACATATTTTTATGCCATCGAGACAAAAATTTGGAGCTATAATTTTTTTCCTGTCCGTTCAAAACATTACCTTTACCATGTCTTTTGATTAAATGGAGCTATATCTTCCATAAATCACATGTGTATTCCTTGTCACGAGATCTTCATTTTCATCACAACATATTTAACTTCTTGACCTTAGAGTTTGACCCTCGTTTGCAAAAATTACACCGACTTTAACATTGTCCGAAACTTTAAAACCGTTGCTACTAGGTTTTTTTTTTTAGGTTTAATTGTATCATCATTATTGTATTATAATTTCGTTGATTTCTTCGACTAGTAGCTATTTTATCGAAGTTGTGACATTACTTTTAGATTAACCCTCGTACATGGGTTTTACATTACTAATGGCAATACCTTCATTTGAATACCAACAATTTAAGACTTTTGACCTTAGACTTTGATTGATTGATTACTGTACAGTTGTTTTACGCCGAGTCGGCAAAATTTCGGCGAGTTTGACCTACTTTAACTTTGCCATAACTTTTGAAGAGTTGGTACTAGAGCTTTTATATATAATTGTAAGTGTATTTCTTCCCCTGCATACCATAAACGATAAGAAAGGCTTAGCCCCTCTTTTGGCCCCTGGTTTGGGATGTCTTTTAGAATGATGCAACAGTGTATCATTAAAAACATGTTGTCACCTACGTTCAGAATGAGCATTGGATCTAAGTTATGGGATACACAGAGGTTACAGGAAGATCAGAAATTAAAAAATGTCAAGGAAATGTTGGGAAAATGTCATACTTATGCACCCTTTTGTGCCCTCGATATGAGCTTAAAAAAAGAACCATTTTTAGTTCTTAAGTACAAGCTAATCATATTTTTAACTGCATTCTGATTTTTACATCAAATAAAGGGTCTATTTGGTCGTTATCATACCTTGTCCTTTACTTTTTTCACCTTGACATTGAAGTTTGATCCACGTTTTGAAAATATGAACATTGGCCATAACTTTTGAAAAATTTGTCTTTGTCTTTCTTAATGACCAGGTATTTACCAGGCCTCAAGACCATACTGTAGAATTATCAATTTTCGTGGGCGACCAATGTTCGTGGATTTCGTTGGTCACCCTTACCAACGAATTTACATCCCCTCGAACGTTTAGTTTGTTAACATATTGATTCATTGAACTATCGTATTTACGAATAACCCACGAAATCATGTCTCTACGAACAGGTCAAATTTTGCTTGACCACGAACATTGACCCCCACGAATAAAAATGATTCCACTGAGAATGGACTTTAGTCAAAATTTTGAATTCAAATACTTTGAATTTTATTTAACACATGTGTTTTAAAATTTACAGGTTTGTATAATATTTAAAAAAAAAAGATGGTAAAAAATATTTCAAAATTTATATTGAATTTAAATTTGACATACGTCTGTTATCAGTTTATGAACTTGGGGCAAGATATACACAGTTACACAAGCCTTTTCTTTTTTTATCTTTATCGCTTGACCTTGGAGTTTGACGTACATTTGAGAAACATTAACCTTCGCCATAAGCTGCCATATCTGGCCATCTGGATTTCACCAACACATATTGATTTTTTAATATTAAAGTAAATGTATTTCTACTAAGTTTTACTTGATTTTTTAAATACTTGTAGGTCTTATTCCCAACAGGAACTGCAGTGGAGATTTCCATAATAAATTGGCCTTCTATGACCAGATTTCATATGAATGTTGACATTCGTCCCTCGTATTCAGATGTTGGTGAAACAACTGGGTTGTGCGGATTTCTGGATGGTAAAAAGGAGAACGATTTAACATGGAGAAATAAAACCGTTGAGGACCCTAACAAATATAGTTATTATAATCCTCCGCATGACTTCTCTATGTCTTGGGAGTAAGCATAAGTTAACATTTATATTTTTTAAATTTGTTTCATCTACTATAATACTCGTACTTTACTGTTAAACATCTTTTAAAAAAACAAAACCAATGAATATGTCGTCAAACCTAAATGTACACAAAAGCAGAAAAGTCGCACAGGAAGAAACGAGAACTTTCAGTTAAAACTGAAAGGCGGTTTTCAGTGACTTTCCATTAGACATTCAGCCACTTAATGACACATACCTTTCAGTGATCTTTCAGTTGCCCTCCAGTCACATTTCAGATACCTTTCAATCATCATTTAGCAGACGCTAAGTCAACTTTCAGTGACCTTTCCGTCAACTTTCAGTGATCTTTGCATCAACTTTCAGTGACCTTTCCGTTGTCTTTCAGTGACCTTTCCGTCGACTTTCAGTGACCTTTCTGTCGTCTTTCAGTGACCTTTCCGTCGACTTTCAGTGACCTTTCTGTCGTCTTTCAGTGACCTTTCCTCCAACTTTCAGTGATATTTTAGACTCAATTTAGCGATTTTTTCACTAACTTATTAATTTATAATCAGATATTTTTCCTTAAGAACGAAGCATAATTTGATAAAGATTTATTATTCAATGTTAATTGTGTTTTTTACTTATCGTGATGAAATTCGGCTACCTTAAAATATGTCTAAATAATTATTATAATTTTATAAAATAGATGATACTCATTCTAAATGATTTTTAATTTTCTAGTTAGATTTAGAAAATAAAAATATTTTCAAGTGATAAAAAAATGATGATCCGATAATCGAATCAAAATTTAAATAAATGCCGCATAAAATTCTATATTGCTTATACGTGTTTTTTTCATGAAAATATCTAGTTTTGATTGATGAGACAGGATTTATATTATTTACACCTTTTCTGAAAGATCCCTAATATTACTGATCAATTAAAAAAAATTGTTTCGTCATTAAATGTCAAAACCGCAGGATATTTTAGCTTTTGAAAGACATCATTTTAAAATCATTTAACATGAATAGAATAATTCATTAATACATGCCTCTTGTAGAAAAAAAAATTAAATATTGTAGATTTTAGCTCTCTAAATGATAAAGACCCTTTCACAATAACTGCGGTACTACTCTTTTGCAGGGCAAAATGATATAATTTGACGAAATATGACGTAAAAATAATTGTCTTATATAGGTCAATTCATTATCTATCAACAAAAACTTCGCCAAACGTCATTATTTTGCCCTGCAAAAGAGTAGTACCGCAGTTATCGCGAAAGGGTCCATTGTTTTAATAAAATTATTCAACTAAGTTTCTAGATAGAAAATTTACAATGATCTCAAATCTCGGACACTGGAACAGGTGTCCGTCATTAATAATTTTCATCATCACTATAGGAGATGTTTAATTAATCAGTCTGTCCCCGAAATCTGCGCAACTAACAAAGAATATACAAAAGATATACAGGATATATACACATCGCAGCTCCTCGATACAACAGGTGAACTGATTGTTCCATCGATTTCTACAAATTGATTGATTTTAAATCCATGTTTCAACACAAAGTCGTTGACTAATTGATAAGGTCGAGGACACCGGTGCAGGAGACCCGGGTTTAATTCTGACCATAAGCACTATTTTTCTTTCTTGAATTTTTTTCCCTCACTTTTTTATTAGGAATTTGATAAATTTATTGCTATAATACTAGGAGAAAGTGAAATACAAATTTTAAGTTAAAAAAATAAGCGGACTATTTAATAAAAAGAGGCAACTGAGTGATAACTGAAAGGTCACTGAAATGTATATCCATGTACCATTCAGTCGACTGAATGGTAACTGAATGATCACGGAAAGGTCACAGGAAAGGGTCTTTTCAGTGGCATTTCAGTGACCATTCACTTTCCATTCAGTCGACTGAATGGTGGATTTTCATCCTGTGTAGACTCTCCGAGCTTTATTAATCAATGCTTCATTTTACAATACATGTAAGTACCAATTAAAAAACAAACAATTAAAAAGCCACTCCATCCCCTCCCCTAAAATAAAAAAAGTAAACAATAAAAATTAGTTGATATCAAATGTACCAATGTTTGACCAAAACTGTAGCAACGTTTTTCATATTTCATTTCATATTTTATTCATTGTAATATACATGAAGTAACCATTGCAACGATGTTCGCCGAATCTTTTTCGAAAAAAACCTTCTGAAGAGAATAAGTCTTGCTTGTTGCATGTGAGAATTTTATTTAAATAGGACCCAAGCTCTAGGGAAAGTATTTTTATTAAAAGTTTTCAAAAACTCAAATGAACACACGAACGAAAACCTACATCCCAACATTGCCTGAGCTTTTAACTGCATGGTCTTTTAAAACAGTAATATGGTAAAAGTATCAAAACTTCATAACCAGAGGCATAAATTTGACATAACTTTAACATTTTTGCTCTTGTCTGTACTTTCATAATTTATTTTTAAGCTCATCTGAGTCGAAAGCACATGTAAAATTTCTGATCGAAGAGTGTCCTGTGTCTGTCTGTCGTCTGTAAATATTTTACATTTTTGGCTTTTACCCAAGATTCCCTGGACCATTTTCAACCAAATCCCCGTTCACACATGCATGCACTGATTTGCTCACTGTATGTAAATTGAGCTTACGAGCAAAATTTGCTGCCGGGTGTTAAAGTATATTTGCTAAGCTTTCACATGGTACTTAACAATAAGATCAGAATGCCAATGATTAACGAAGTTGAACAAAAACATGACGGATTATTTGAGGTTCAAAAGTAGGAGAACATTTCCTTACTGTGTACTGTAAAGCGAGAAAATTTTGCCACACTGGCAAGTGGGAATGAATTTGCGCAAAAACAAAAATTAGTGCTTGCGCTTGTCCTTGGAAAAAAAACATTATATTTTTAAATCTTTGATCCGGTTCACATGTACATATGCTTTGAACACACACAAAAAATAAAATCAGATTTAGAAATCCATTAGCACAAAATAAATTTTAGCGTTCAGGGGCTTTTGCGCCAAGGAAGTTAAGATTAGTAGTGCGCCATAATTTTTACTGTATTTTTTACAGTATTTTTAGGTTTTTGCGCTGGGATAAGTCATTAAAGGGATCAATGGGCTAGTGAAAGTTGAACAGATTGGAATGACAGAATTGCTTTACAAATGTTTGATGATTCTCAATGGACTGAAAACTTTGAAATGTAGATCTGAACTATTACTTGCTCCCAAAGAAAAATAATGTGTTCGCCAGCCAAAACCGGTCTGTTGTTTTTTGACATTGTTCTTGATTTCATCGACAACAGAATACCAAATAAAGCTACTTGTACTTTCCTTCTTCCTTTAATGGGACATATTTCTTTGACATGGAGTATGTAAAACAAAGGATTACTTTAAGATTTGGGTACATAGCACATACTGGTAGGACCTGTGCCTCCAAAGAATGAGGATTGTGGTGCATTCGAATTTGCGTTAAGCCACTAGGGACGCTGCCCAACAACCACCCCCATAATCAGATTCATCATTTTAAATTGTTGCTACCCAGCGTTCCTCTTAATTGTTTCTGTCGTTACGTCATTTTCCGGTTCAATCTTTTTTTCCTACCTCAAGTTTATTCTTTTTTAACATTGTAAGAATTCGTCCTCAGACTTTTCGTTTGTGGCCTTGAAACCTTCCATAATGGCATCAAGAGCTACCTCCAATTTATTGTTTTTTGTTTTTTTTGCTTTCTTTCTTTTACCGTTCTTTTCACTTTCCTTTCCTCGTTTTATGGTCTTGAATTCGGTCAAACTTTGTTCGCTGTTTCCTGTTCTTTGTTATCCCCAATCAATATTGTTTCTTTTCGTTTCCTCGGTCAGAGGACGTATTACATCCATGGTCACATCTCATGTTTTGTCTCCTTTTTCAGCAGGTGTTTCTTCAGATGCCTGCTAATGCAATACTCTCTGAACGCCTGTTGATATTGTTTTATTGTCCCCCGCTTGAAAGTGGGGGATATCAATTTGGGTCTGTCCGTCCGTCCGTCCGTCTTTCTGTCTGTCTGTAACGCTTTCGTTTCCACACGATATCTCGAAAACCCTTTGAGCTTTTGCAATGACATTTTGCTTAGCAACTTCCTATGGACTAGAAAAGACCCCTTTCGATTTTGAGGTTGAAAGGTCAAAGGTTAAAGTCATAAATTTGCAAATTCTCCCTTTTATAAGACATTCGTTTCCGCAAGATATCTCGAGAACCCTTTAAGCTTATGTAGTGAAATTTCACATAACAACTTCCTGTGGCTTAAGGAAGACCCTATTGATTTTGAGGTCAAAAGGTCAAAGTTCAATGTCATAAATGTATACATTCTGTTTGTGTGTAATACTGTCGTTTTCGGGCTATATTTCAAGAGGATTTTGAGCTTTTGCACTGTAATTTTATAGCAAAAGTCAGAAGGACCTCTTTTACCCATCTCAAAGTGTCCCGCCCCGTTTGTTTTATTAGTATTTATTGTATTACATGTTGCTATTTTTAGCACAGGGGCATGAAGGAGAGTTATTACGTATAAACATGTTCTCATCGGACTTTGTATTCTTAGTACATCTATTAAAACTGTTTAATAAGGGTTAAATTAGACACCATGCGTTGTGTAAAATTTAAACAATATATCGAACGTGAATATATACATGTATGTGACTTAATGTTTGCATATAATTCAGCATGTGAAATGATAAATTTATGAGGTTTGACTTGTACAAACTCATAAAATCATTATTACAGTGTGATAAATATATTATATAAAAAGAATCTTCTACACACATAATAAAGAATAATCAATCAAACCTTTATATCCATATTTGCATATTTTATTTGATTCAGAATACATTTAAAAATTCTACAAATTCAGTCAAGGGGACCCACACCCCCCGAACTGCGCATGGTTTACTTTTTCCCTAAGCGGGGAACACAAATTTTCTGAAATAGCTTGTTTGCTATCTGTTTTCGAGCGTCGCCGTGCGTTGTGCGTTAACATTGAAACATTTT